TATATAGGCTCAAAGAAACAAGTATGGGTATGGCGCTATATTAGAGCATGAGCGTTGTTCTGATGGCCTGACAATCCAAAAACTCTTCAATTCAACTATTTCCCATCGTAAAAAGTAGTATTTTGGCAACTCTACACCTCTCTCTAATCCCAAAAAAAAAGAGTTTCTGGGGAAAGAAGAGATATTTCATCTTTCTCCTCTACCTCAGGAGTCACCTTGCTGTTCCATTTCGTCCTGTCAATCGATCTCTTTGAAGAAGATGCACAAGAAGAATCAGCTACACAGCTGGCATTCTTTTAGCTCTACTACTCACAAAAAACGTTTTCTTTGATTTTCGGTATTCTAGATTTTTCAGGCTCTTTGAAACTCTAGAATCTTTAATATTCTAATTATCTCCGAGGGACCACCGGGGCAGATAGACTGCCCCACCCGCTTAGTATGTGTTGTAAACAAGAAGGAGAAGAACCAAACCGATTGATTAACGATCAGTCGAGAGTGAGAGAGACGCAGAGTGTTGATGGGGGGACCGCAGAAGAAGAAGATACTCGATGCACTTGTGAGAAGAAGGTTATCTTCTTCTTCTTTTTGCTCTGTGAGCCAGCCGGAATGATTTATATTCGCCATTCTGCCTCCTCCCACTTACCAACCACACCTGATTATTTTTAGATGTTGTTTTTTGTTTTTTTTTCCTTTTGGAATTTTTATGGCTTTGGATGATTGATAAGGTGTTCGGAAAAGCTAGTGATAATATTTTGCTAATTTTAGTGATATAATTTTAAAAGCCATTGTTTCTTTATACCGTAAACAATAGAATAGAAACTTTGAACCGACTTATCTCGGTTTCTGTGAAAGATATCGAAAAACATTTGGCTAAGATTCTGAAATTTGGATTACAAAATTCTAGAATTCGTGAGATTGTCAGATTCTCAAAATTTTCATTTTATCGAATACCGTCCACTTAGTTTTCAAATAAAATTCTGCCTGTTGTTTCTTCTAAAGGTTTTCAAAATTTTCAGACTTTTGCGTTTATTTTCGGTTTTTTAAACTTCCCACATATTTTTGTTCCGACTTCTTGAATTTCTAAATTCTCACAAAATGGAAAATTGATCAAGTTTCAGAAATACTGAAACTCTAGAGATGAATAGTTTTACCAATTTTTCCCAAGATTTCTAGCCCAACTAGCTACTGAGATAGACCGCTTTGAAGTTACTGAAACGAGAGACGTAGACAGTTAGAGTGTCTCGTTGTCTCCGTCTCTTTGAAAGTTCAAATGGCTGAAAGCGTAGTCCAATTCGAAAACCAACTTCCTAGCTTTACTAGGGGTCGAGATACAGCCATTTGAAGTTTTGAAACGACGCAGACAACGAGACACTCTAACTGTCTGCGTCACTTTAAACATCAATCGACTGCTCCTAGATGAGCTAGAGATTCGAAATTTTTTGGAAAATATACGATTTTCAAATTTCGCATTTCAGTTTAAAAATCAGCTTTCAAGCTCAACTAGGAGCTGAGATAGACCACTTTGAAGTTACTGAAGCGAGAGACTCAGACAGTTAGAGCGTCTCGTTGTCTCCGTCTCTTTGAAAGTTCCAATGGCTGAAAGCGTAGTTCAAAATTTTTAGGTTCGTTTCCTCAATTTTGGAATATTTTCAAAAAGAGTTCTCCTTCACTTTTGTCCCAAGAAAAAAAAACGGAAAAAGTCCCATATTTTTTGTTAATCCCTACTATCCTTTCCCTAGGTCCACACATCATTTGACGTGATTTTTTGTGACAGAAACTTTTTTTTAAATTATATTTTTACTCGTCATCTTTGTCAAGAGAGTGTGGGACGAAGAGTTCATCTTCTTCTTACTCTCTCTCTCTCTCTCTCTCTCTCAACAGAGTTCTCAGGAAAACAAGAGTAACCTATTTTTATGATCGCTAGGGTCAAAAAGCAAAGATTTTAAGAGAAAAAAACTGGAAATATGAAAGTTTGAAATCATATAAACATTAGAAACGCTTCAGAAAGATGCCAACTTTTTTCAAAAATTAGTCACCATAAACGTTTTAATAAACTTTGACCCAATTTATCTTTGTTCCTCTGAAAGATATCAAAAATATGTCAACTGGCTTGTCTTGAAGCCAAGATTCAGCCCTTTGAATTTTTCGGAAAGACGCAGACAACGAGACGCTCTCGTCGCCTGCGTCTCTTGCTTCATAAACTCCAAAGCGCTCTATCTCAGCTGCCAATTGAGCTAGAAATCTGGAAATTACATCGAAAAACTGGAAATGCTTAAATGTTTCATTTCTATGTTTTTGCTTTTTCAACGAAATAATTTAATTTTCTTTTTTCTAGCTTTATTAAGAGTGAAAATTCTGAAATTCTGAAACTCTGAAAATCTAAAATTCAAAAAAAAATTCGAGAAAAATCTGGAAAATCTAGTTTTTCTTTCGCTTTTTCTTTCCAGAACACCAGAACCCAAAAAAATTGGATGACGAGAGGACCATCTAATAAAAATGAGAAAAGCAACGAGTTTTATGATCGTTTTTTTTCTCTAAATCTCTCAATTTTTTTGCTCTCTCTCTTTTTTTCTATCCTCAATTTTTTTGCTCTTTTCTCCATTGCTCATATTTTTGTTGGATTGCTCATATTTTTGTTTTCAGATTCTCAATTAAAAAAAAAAACAATTTTTTCAGAAAAAAAGAAATGCAAAAAATATGGGAATGGATAGTGGATAAAAAGACGAATACGATTCGAAAATGGCGATCATCGAATATTCGACGGAATAATACGGAACCAGACGATTTAGCAGGTGAGCGGGCGGGAAATTTGAATTTTTTCTAATTTTTGAAAATTATAGTTTTGCCAATTATTTATATGAAATTTTCAGAATCCTAGCTTGTCTAGAAGCTGAGATAGAGCGCTTTAAAGTTTATCAGGCGAGAGACGCAGACGGCGAGAGTGTCTCGTTGTCTGCGTCTCTTCCTTCTAAGAAAGATAGAAAAGTGGTTTTCGAACGAGTGTTTAACATTTTTAATACTTTTCGATTTTTAGGGAAAAAATTATTGAGTTCAAAAAATTCGGAAAAAACTCAAACTCTGAAAATGAATTACTGAAAATTTTTTTTGAAAATTTTTGAATTTTTCAATTCTTTCTATGCAATTTTCAGATTTCTAGCTCAACTAGAAGCTGAGATAGAGCGTTTCGAAGTTGATAATACTAAAGGCGCAGACGGCGAGAGTGTCTCGTTGTCTGCGTCTCCTCGAAAATTCCAATGGCTGTATCTCAGCTTCTAGGCAAGCTAGAAAGATGATTGTTGAACCGGTGTGTAGCACTTCTCCACTTTTAAATTTTTGAAGAAAATTCGTTCGAAAAAAATCCAGAAGCTACAAAAATCCTCCAAAAGTTCTGAAATTTTAAGCATATCGAAATGGAAAACGAAAATCGTACTCGGCTGGAAGTATCACGTCGTCATCGAATAACTCCACAAATAAAAAGAATGCAGATTTTGAGAATTTTTTCGAAGAACCCCAATTAAAAACCATGTTAGATGCGAGAAGAGAATCATTTATGAGACACTCGAATTCTGCTGAAGTCTTTCCAGTTGCACCTCCCGATTTAGAAGTCTTTATTGAGAGATCTGCGTGAGTTTTTACTTGTTGTTAGGGGTGGTATGAGGCATGCTACCTTTGACCCAATTTATCTCGGTTTCTACAAAAGACCTCAAAAAATGGTCAACTGGTAAAATGTTGCTGATATTATGACAAACATTTTGTTAGTTGACCACTTTTTGATATCTTCTATACGAACCGAGATAAATTGGCTCAAAGCTGAAAGTTAGGATGCCAATCCATTTGAGGAATCCTTAGCGTACCTTCTAATAGAATGCGTCCACTTTGAGCCAATTTATCTCGGCTCCTATAGAAGATATCAAAAAGTAGTCAACTGAAAAATGTTAATTATTTTATCAAAAATATTTTATCAGTTAGCCACTTTCAGATATCTATTACAAGAAACAAGAGTTATGAGCTTAAAGCTGGAAGTTAGTGGGTTATCCTTGAAAAACGCTCTAAAAAGGCAGCTAAAAATTATCAAGGGCTTTTCTGAAAATTTAAAAATTGAGTGATAAACAGAAATTATTTAAATGTCAAAATTAGTAAAATTTCAGCTGTAGAGAGAGTTCATGAATTCTGAATTATCTGAAGACGTCATTTACCATAATACATCCTTTTTGAGCTCAAATATCTCTATTTCCATTTGAGGAATCCAAATTTTGCAAGCTATAAAAATAATGATGATAATATAAAAAACATTTTATCAGTTGATCACATTTTGATATCTTTCCGAGGAAATGAGATATATAGGCTCAAAGAAACAAGTATGGGTATGGCGCTATATTAGAGCATGAGCGTTGTTCGTTTTTACTTGTTGTTAGGGGTGGTATGAGGCATGCTACCTTTGACTCAATTTATCTCGGTTTCTACAAAAGATATCAAAAAGTTGTCCATTAATAAAATGTTGCTGATATTATGATAAACATTTTATCAGTTGACCAATTTTTGATATCTCTTATAGGAACCGAGAAAAGTCCGCTCATAGTTAAAAGATACGGAGATGAACAGATATTGTAGCTTCTCTGTGCCCTTCTTCTTCTTCTTCTTCTTCTTGAACAGACATTTTCTGACACAAATAAATCCAAAAAATTCCAATTTTCCAATTTTTCGCCGATCCACACAATGATAGATCCACTCTGAAAATGAGAGGTTTTGGAGGTTTTAAAGCTCTGAATCCGATGAATTTTGAGCTCCGGACCCCTATACACAAACACTTTTATACACGGAATCCTAATTCCGGATTCCGGATTTCTGAATTTCTGAATTTCTGGTTTACCTTATGAATCAAGAAACTCAAAAATCCGAAAATCCAGAAATGCAGAAATTCGAAAATTCGAGAATCCGGAAATCCGGAAACCTGGAAATCAAGAACCAAGTAAAATGTTCGATAGTTCAGAAATTCAGAAATTCAGAAATTCTGAATTTCTCAGATTCTGAATTTCTGAAATTCTGAAATTCTGAAATTCGAAGATTTTTAAATGAAATTCTGAAATTCTGTTATTCTGAAATTTTGAAATTCTGAAATTCTGATATTCTGAAATTCAGAAATTCAGAAATTCTGAATTTCTCAGATTCTGAATTTCTGAAATTCTGAAATTCTGAAATTCTGAAATTCTGAATTTCTCAGATTCTAAGATTCTGAAATCCTGAAATTCTGAAATTCTGAAATTCTGAAATTCTGAAATTCTGAAATTCTGAAATTCTGAAATTCTGAAATTCTGAAATTCTGAAATTCTGAAATTCTGAAATTCTGAAATTCTGAAATTCTGAAATTCTGAAATTCTGAAATTCTGAAATTCTGAAATTCTAAATTTCTGAATTCTGAAATTCTGAAGTTATGAAGTTCTGAAATTCGAAGATTTTTAAATGAAATTCTGAAATTCGAAGATTTTTAAATGAAATTCTGAAATTCTGTTATTCTGAAATTTTGAAATTCTGAAATTCTGATATTCTGAAATTCTGAAATTCTGAAATTCTGAAATTCTGATTATCTGAAATTCTGAAATTTTGAAATTCTGAAATTCTGAAATTCTGAAATTCTGAAGTTCTGAAATTCTGAAATACTGAAATTCTGAAATTCTGAAGTTCTGAAATTCTGAAATACTGAAATTATGAAATTCTGAAATTCTGAAGTTCTGAAATTCTGAAATTCGAAGATTTTTAAATGAAATTCTGAAATTCTGTTATTCTGAAATTTTGAAATTCTGAAATTCTGATATTCTGAAATTCTGAAATTCTGAAATTCTGAAATTCTGAAATTCTGAAATTCTGAAATTCTGAAATTCTGAAATTCTGAAATTCTGAAATTCTAAAGTTCTGAAATTCTGAAATACTGAAATTCTGAAATTCTGAAGTTCTGAAATTCTGAAATACTGAAATTATGAAATTCTGAAATTCTGAAGTTCTGAAATTCTGAAATTCTGAAATTCTGAATTTCTAAAATTCTGAAAATCTGAAATTCTGAACTTTTGAAATTCTGAAATTCTGAAGTTCTGTAATTCTGAAATTCTGAAGTTCTGAAATTCTGAAATACTGAAATTCTGAAATTCTGAAGTTCTGAAATTCTGAAATACTGAAATTCTGAAATTCTGAAGTTCTGAAATTCTGAAATACTGAAATTATGAAATTCTGAAATTCTGAAGTTCTGAAATTCTGAAATTCTGAAATTCTGAATTTCTAAAATTCTGAAAATCTGAAATTCTGAACTTTTGAAATTCTGAAATTCTGAAGTTCTGTAATTCTGAAATTCTGAAATACTGAAATTCTGAAATTCTGAAGTTCTGAAATTCTGAAATACTGAAATTATGAAATTCTGAAATTCTGAAGTTCTGAAATTCTGAAATTCGAAGATTTTTAAATGAAATTCTGAAATTCTGTTATTCTGAAATTTTGAAATTCTGAAATACTGAATTTCTAAAATTCTGAAAATCTGAAATTCTGAACTTTTGAAATTCTGAAATTCTGAAGTTCTGTAATTCTGAAATTCTGAAGTTCTGAAATTCTGAAATACTGAAATTCTGAAATTCTGAAGTTCTGAAATTCTGAAATACTGAAATTATGAAATTCTGAAATTCTGAAGTTCTGAAATTCTGAAATTCTGTAATTCTGAAAAATCTCGAAATTATTTTTTCCTAGGAAATTTGAAAATTTGAACTTTTAAATTTTAAGAAATTTCGAATCCTAGAAATCTCCAAAATTGAGATTTTGGGTCTCTGAAATTCTGAATATTTGATGAAAAAACGTATGATATTCTTGATATTTGATATCTGAATATCATTAAAAATTCCACGACATCATATTTCTTGAAAAAAGTAAAAATATGACTTTTCAGACAAGTTTGAAGAACCAAAAATTGCTAAAATCTTGCTATTCTGGTTCTCCGGATTACGGTATATTTTGAAAATCCGAATTTCTAATTTTCAATTTTTCTAATTGTCAAGATTTCAAGATTCTATGAATCCGAATTAAAAAAATAACTCTGGAAATCTGGAAATCTTTTGAATTCCTCGTTTTTGTGGTCTTTCGAATTTAGAACATCTTGTGAATCCCAAAAAAACCTAATTATAATTTTTATCATGTAATCCCACCGAAATAGCAAAAATAATCTCATTTTCTATAATACTAATCTTATCCTCATAAGATTTGATTTTTCTAAATTTTTTATTTATTTTTAGCATTGCAAATTTTCTGAAACTCACGTTTTCTTATAGGGATCGAATCTAAAAATTTTCAGAAAAATAGGCGCAAAACTCTTTTAACAATTTCAAAAATATGAAAATTCCAAGTCTCTTTTCAGATTCTGAGATTTTTGGAAAATCTGGAATTTTCAGTTTAAAAAAATGTCTGATGCCAAATTCTATAAATCCAAAATTCCGTACAATTTCAAATTTCTTCAAGTTTTGATCCCTTGTAAACAATTTATCAATTTCCAGAAAAACCACACCCAATCCCACACCACGAACCGTTAGAAAGCAGCTGCGATTTGATATTCCAGAGGTAGGCTCCGCCCACTTTTCAAAGGCTCCGCCCATTTTTATAAAGACTACTTTTAGAGTTGTTCGTAGTCGGCTCAAGTTAGTTGACCCATCTTCAGGTCAACTCAATTTTTTAATTCCGAAAAGCAACTACCGTAAACCCACTAATGGAGAGGCACCCTAACTTTAATCTTTGAGCCAATTTATCTCGGTTACTGTAAAAGATATCAAAACGTGTTCAACTAAAAAAATGTTTATCATAATATCAGCAATATTTTATCAGTTGATCACTTTTTGATATATTGTACAGTAACCGAGATAAAATGACTCAAAGTTGACAGCTTTTTAGTTGAATGTTGACGGCTTGTCATTTTGAATCGTTCTCTTTTTCATTTTCACTTCAACATTTTCAATGTTTCTTAATCCATTTTTCCAGGTGCACATCCAATTCGAAACGCAAGAGCCTCGAAAAGTGACATTTGAAGGTGGATCTCCAGCATCATCCACCTCGAATTCCATAGTTCCACCGCCAGTTATCGATTGGGATTCGCCGCCAAAAATCAATATTCTTCCTCAAATGGTGGAACCAAGTCTTTGTTTTGATGATGAGGTATCAGTTACAACGAGACGACTATCAGCAAGTGAGAAGGCCCGGCAAAATGTGATTGCTCAGCGGCGACAAAGTAATGTTCAGGTGAGGAGAGGGGCGGCGGGTTTCGAGCTCACTTATCTTGTTTCCTGTAAGAGATATCCAAAATTTGCTAACTAGTGAAAGGTTGGTGATAATATCATGAACATTTTATCAGTTGATCATTTTTTGATATCTTTCACAGGAATCGAGATATTTGAGCTCAACAGTAAAAAATCGTTGCTTTCAGTTTGTGCAATCTATGAGCGGCCGAACAACAACGACCACATTGATACCACTAACTTGTGCTCAGATTCATTTAGTTCGTGCGCTATGGCGACAAGTTTATACGACAAAGGGACCAACTGTCATTGGAGCGAGCATCTATCATCGCTTGTGTTTTAAGAATTTGATGGTATGCCGATTTTTAGGAAATCGCTTGAATTTGGAATACTTTCCAAAAAGTTTCAAATCTCTAGCTTATCTAGGAGCTGAGTTAAAGTGTTTTGAAGTTCAGAGAAACGCAGGTGGCGAGAGTGTCTCGTTGTCTGCGGCTCTCCTAAGCCACTGTATCTCGACTCCTAGTGAAGCTAGGAAGTTGGTTTTTTAACTGAAATGTGAAACCTTAAAAAAGAAATAATTTCCAAAAAGAATCAAATCTCTAGCTCATCTGTGAGCCGAGATATGACCGTTTGAGCCGAGACATGACCGTCCAAAGTTTTAAGAGACGCAGACGGTTAGAGTATCTCGTTGTCTGCGTCTCTCCCCTCATCAACCAAAAATTGAAAAAATTCGTTTTTTAGGTAAAAGAGCAAATGAAACAAGTCGAACTTCCGCCGAAATTCCAAAATCGTGATAATTTTATAAAGGCGCATTGTAAAGCAGTGGCTGAGCTGATAGATCAAGTCGTCGAGAATTTGGATCATTTGGATAATGTAACAGGCGAACTGATGCGAATTGGACGGGTGCATGCAAAAGTGCTCCGTGGAGAATTGACTGGAAAATTGTGGAATACGGTTGCGGAGACGATTATTGATTGCACATTGGAGTGGGGCGATCGGAGGTGAGTGTCATTTCGCAACCATTCTGAAACGTCGGTGTTCTGAACCGTCACGGTTCTGAAGTATCATAGTTCTATAACGTCTCTGTTGTCAAACAGCTCAGTTCTGAATTGTCGCGGTTCTAAAACGGCCCGGTTTCAAAACGTCACGGTTCTGAAATGTCGCGGTTCTAAAAAATTAAGGTTCTGAAACGCCACGGTTCTAAAACGCGGTTTCGAAAGATCACGGATCTGAAATGTCACAGTTCTATAACGTCTCTGTTTTGAAACACCATAGTTCTTAAATGTCACGGTTCTGAAATGTGGTGGTTCTATAACGTCTTTGTTTTGAAACAGCATAGTTCTGAAATGTCCCGGTTCTGAAATGTCGCAGTTCTATAACTTCTCGGTTTTGAAACAGCATAGTTCTGAAACGTCACGGTTCTAAAATGTCGCAGTTCTGAAATGTGGTAGTTCTAAAACGTCACGGTTCTGAAATGTCTTTTTTCAGGTGTCGAAGTGAAACCGTGCGGAAAGCTTGGGCGTTGATTGTGGCGTTTGTGATCGAAAAAATCAAAGCGGGACATCATGAACAGGTAGATTTTTGGACGCTTTCTTTTTTGGAGAATTAGAGTTTTTTTTTTGAATTTTTGGTTCTCGAAACTCAAACATTCCGAAAATTAAAAAAATCGAAGATTTCTAAAAATTCAAAAATCCGGAATATTCAAAGAATTTTTCTAAAATTTCGAAATATCGAAACTTCAAAAAAAACGGAATTCAGAAAATTCCAGAAAAAAAAATCTAAAGTTAACATTTCGTTGAGAAATTCCAGAAGATCAAAAATTCTGAAATTTTCAAGAAAATTCAGGAAATCGAAAAATCGAAATTTTCAAAATTTTTAAATTCTGAAAATTAAAAAACCTCCAAAACTGAGAAAATTCAAAAATTCAGAGTTTTTTTTTACAATTCCGATAATTTCAAAAAATCGAAAATTAAAAAAATTCCTGAAAATTCAATAAATCAAGAATCTGAAATTCGGGAAGAAATGAATTGGGAAATTCAGAAATTCAGAAATTTAAAAATTCCGAAAATTCTGAAATCCAGAAAATCAAAACTATCAAAATTTTAGAAAATGTCAAAAATTCAAAAATCTGCATTTTGAAAATCCTGAAATCCTGCAATTCTAAAAGTGGACAGTTCGAAAGTTCAGAAATTCAATTTTAAAAAAATTCAAAATTCGAAATATCTGAAATTCAGAATTTCAGAATTTCAGAAATTCAGAAATTCTGATAATTCTGAAATTCGAAAATTCTGAAACTCGAAAATTCTTAAATTCTGAAATTCGAAAATTCTGAAAATCGAAGTTTTCGAAATTCTGAAATTCAGGAATTCAGAAATTCGAAAACCCTGAAATTCAAAGAATCGGAAATTTTGAATTTCAAAATTTCAAAAATTAAAAAAAAAATTCAAAATTCGAAATATCTGAAATTCAGAATTTCAGAATTTCGGAATTTCAAAAATTCTGAAATTCTGATGGTTCTGAAATTCGAAAATTCTGAAATTCGAAAAATCCTAAAATCCTAAAATCCAAAAATTCGAAATATCTGAAAATCAGACAATATAATTTCAAAAATTAAGAAATTCTAAAAATTCTAAATTTTCAGCGAAAACTAATGCTGGCACTCGTCAATCCCTCCCATCAATCCGGACGCCTTCAATGGAACGATTTTGAAATTTTTCAAAGAAAAAATTCAGAAAAATAAATTTCCCAAAACAGATTCCCCCACTCCATGTCACTTTTTTCCCGCCCAAAAATTGTATTTTTTGTAGTTTGAAATTTGAATTTTTCAAAAAGTTTCCCCCATTTTTTGATCCCATACAGTGTATTTGCAAATTTGTGTGATGATCTCAGAACAACGAAAAAAAAATTAATAAACAATTTTAAATTTTTTTTTTCTTCACTACAAACTACAAAAATTGAAAATTTGAATTTTTGAAAAAAAGTGAAATTTTTGAATTTTTGAAAAAAAAAAAGTGAAAATTTCCAATTTTTGAAAAAAAGTGACAATTTTGAAAAAAAAGTGAAATTTTGGATTTTTTGAATTTTCGAAAAAAAGTGAAAATTTTGAATTTTGAAAAAATTGAAATTTTTGCATTCTTCGACTAAAAAATACACAAAAATTGAATTATTACTGTAATGGTTTTTATTGATTCCGGTGGATATCTCATTCTTTTTTCAAAGTTTTGAAAAATTGCTAAAAGGGGGCGGGGCTTAAAAATTGGGAAAAAATTGACAAAAAAAGAGGTAGAATTGTGGGATGGGGCAATTTTAAAGCAAGTTCAATGGAGAAGCAGCCAAAAATGACACAAATTTGAATTTTTCGAAAAAAAGGAAAAAAATGTAAATGTTGAAAAAATCCAAATGCGCTCAAATGTCAATGTGGTGGCAGATTGTGTGCAGTGCGGATCTCCTCAGCATACTTTTTGACAGACTGAAAATAAATTTTTGTTTTAAAAAAATGAAACAATGTACGTGCAAAAATTGCAAAAATCCTAAATTTTCAATGAGTTTCAGACTTTTCCGTTTCAGACAAACAGGCAAACCTCATCAATTTTCTCCTGATGCTTCAAATAGAAATCCTTGACTTGTTGGGGTGTTTTGGACATCAGGACGTCGGAAATTTGAGCGTATCCTCGATGGTACCAGTGGAAATCTGAAAAAATAGAAAATTTGGAAATCCGGAAAATCAAAATTTTCCAAAAATTTGGAAATTCAAAAATCTCGAAATTCCAAAAAAATCAGGAATCCTAAAGTTCTATAATTCGAAAAATCAACAATTCGAGAAATTTCGAAAAATCCTGAAATTCCAAAGCTTTTAGAATTTCAAAATTTCAGAAAATTAATAATTTGAAGACTCAGAAATTCGAAAAATTCATAATTTTCAACAATTTTCAAGGTATTGAAAACTAGATTTTTGCGATATTTTTCCAGCGATGTTCAGTCTTTTCCACTTCCGAGAATTCAGAAAAAGTTTCCAGAAAAATTTTCAAAATTTCAAAGAAACCTATTTTTCATAGTTGCGAACGGGCCGGCCCGGGCAGATGGCGGGCCGGCAGATAACTCGGCTTCAGAACAAGATATTTGGACGGATTTGATATCAAATGATAGATCTCGACGAGGTCCATCTTACCTTTAACATACGGGCCGGCTTCGGGTCCATTAACATGCTGCGGGACGG